AGAGAGAGAGAGAGAGAGAGAGAGAGAGAGAGAGAGAGAGAGGGGGAGAGAGAGAGAGACGGTGTGAGGAGGGGGTCTAACTGCCACCTGATTGCGGCGAAGGCTGATCGGACCTGACCCGCCGCAGCAGCTCACCCTCGGGCTGGGGGAGGTGGGGAGGGGCAGGACAACTGCATTGCCGACACGTCCGGGCGTGGCGGCGGTATGGCGGGGCGTGGCGGGGCGTGGCGGGGCGTAGCGCGGCGTGCGGTTCTCCAGGGGGCAGTCAGGCGGGGGCGGAGGGCGCAGGGGCGCAGGGTGTGGGGCGGGGGACGTGTCGGTGCGTCCGACTCGTATACATAATGTATGCTGAGCCGAGCCGGGCCGGGCCGTGTCGAACCGAGTCGTGCCGAGTCCCACCATGAATCGCGAATGGCTAGGAGTACACGTGTATCCTAGGCGAGCAAACGTCAATGGCTCCCCCTCCCGCAAGCAGGATCGACTGCGTTGGACAGTATGATGGCCAGGGTTAGCGACGCGGCTCATCTCGATATGATGCACTCGGAAGATAACCAGTCAGCGAAGCGAGACGTCTTATGACGCTTTGTTTTGCGATGTGCAATGTGCGATGCGATATTACTTTTATGTATGCTGAGATATATGTTACATTAAAACTCACCGCAACAGACCCGTTGGTTGTTTTCGGCTGAAAAAAGCCTACTAGCAAAAACGAATATTGCGTAACGCCTATTATTTGCGAATACCGCATTAGGGGCCGTTCAGAATGAACGTCCGTTTTTCACTGATTCAAATAACAGAAGCTCGGCGCCTACAAGACTCGGGGTAGGCCTCCCTGTGGTACACGCATGCTTTGCAGGCAAGATGTTGCCTATGTAGCAGGCGCTTTGAGAGGGTGCATATGGGATATGGGCAGGTTCGTAAAGGCGAACGGCGGACTACTATACCTATGGTCTCTAACAAATCATCTCAAAACACGTACGACGCGTCTCCTAGCTACCGCTACCGCTAACAAATCATTTAGTGAGATATTTGATATTTGATACTTATTGTTTAAGGGTTTACATTTAAGAGCTAAAAGCTCCGCTTACAATGTAAGCCCGCTCTCTGATATAGTTTTAAGAATATCACAATTTTCGAGATGAGAGTGATAGAGGAGGGAAGGAGGGAGGGAGGGAGGGAGGGAAATCGAGGCCAGTCCAATCTATCCAGTACCTATCGTCTGCTGCTCACCAGCACGACGCCCATTGCAACGCGGCCTCGAACGCGCCTCACCCGCTGCCGCCCGCGGACCGCGAGATAGGCAACCCAACACGCACCGATGCGTTGCACACCAGCCGCGCACATCAGCCGCGCACATCAGCTCCATAGTCCGCCCTTCCGCCAGACGGAGTTGCCAGCTTCACTTTGCTTCGCCGGCAACTGCGTTCGGCAGAAGACGGGCGTCGGCAGCATTTGGGCAGGCATAAAAGTCACTGTACATGGTTAGATAAACTTAGACCGTTAACAAGGATTGTTATGGTTTTTCTGTGGTACCCCCATTGTCTTGTAGCTACTCCTCAGTGTTGGTTTGCTAGGATTTGCAGGAGGGCTAGTTAAGACACCATGAAAATATCAGGTCTCTAGCTCAGGTTCTTCTCGTTACACAGACAGACACAAGGTCGTATGCAGAAGCCTGCTTCG